AGTTGTTTTATTTTCATTTTGTTTTTACAGCCAAAACTGATTCCTGCAAGCTCATATAAAGGAATGGCGATGGTTCCTTTTTCACGGCAACGGAATGGAGCCTTATCGGTAATCGCATGGCGGATCTGGTACACCAGCAAGGCGACATACAGGAGCAACTTGCCCACATGGATGAAAAGGGACAGTCGGAATCAATGATGACTGTCAGTGCTACCATAAGCGGCTTACGATGGATTTCAGGAAACACTGCCAAGCACTGGAAGGATTCAACCCTTACGGGGCACATTGCGGATCTCCGGGCGCCCCAAGCACCAAATTTTGCGTCTCAACTCCTCCTGCCCATAATGAGGGCGGCCCGTGAGTTGGGGGCGCGGCAAGGGTTGACCATCGCGGAAGGGCGGAGATCAAAGCCGCACTACGCCGCCGCTGACGTGCAGAATCGAAGCGCGCAGCTTCAACATCGGATGGAGGAAGCGAATAACCACTTTTCGGCACGTGCGTCCAACACTGCGGTGGCGAACGGTCTTCTTGCGGGACGCGAACGCCATTTGGAGACAACCCCAGGAACGAAAGGCACGCATCGGTGCCTTGGAAGCGCGGCTTGCAGCTTGGGGTGCGCCGATTCGCTCGGACAGCGAGGAGTTTCCTCTTCCAGGAGAGGGCCGCCAGATGCACCCGCGCACGGGTACGAGAATGGCGCAACGACACCGCCCCACCACGAGCGTTTGATGGCCAGGGACGCGGCTGCACCCACAATTCCCCAACCCAGTTTCACGGGAGAGCGACGGCGGGTCAATACTCTTGCGTCATTGGGCACTGTGGGCGACCGCGTTTCCCTCACCCCGTGACTTCGCTCTTTCGATCTTCGGCTTCAGAAGAAGTTTCCGGTTCGGATGAAGAGGATACGGGTTTCCTTGAATTTGTCGCCAACACTTGGTCCCGCGAATTTGGAATGAAGGCATCTTTGAAATCCGGAGCGCTTACGATTACGGGCACCGAGGGGACGCTCGCGCCCAAATTTCCCTTGACATTTCTGGTTTTGTGGATGCGCGCGTTGCAGTTGTATCGGGAGCCCAACAAGCAGTTCATGGACTTGGGCAGGATTGTACCGCAGGTCTTTTGGACGCAGATCATGATTAAATCCGACCCCAGCATCCCGATCCAAAAACTACGTGCCCGCTTCCATACGGCTTTTCATGAGGATGACACCTTCGCGAGGGCGGCTCGGCCTCTCATGGATTGACGGGGAACTCGATCGCTGTTGCTGCGATGCCAACTGTGCCACAATTATGGACACGACGCGTCTAACTGCAACGTGCGCCCCAAAAGGGTTTCTCCGAGCCACAAGCGAACGTCAAAAAACGGAAAAGGGGCCGCACGCCGCTTATGAAGGCGGACGACGGCGGCCACGCCCATTCCACCACCTCCCACCAATCCCCACACAAGACGTCGCACTGCACCGCCGATGTTCCATCCGATCCTTTGAATCGCCCCACGCAATCGTTAAGAAGCGCAAAGGAGCTTATACGCCAACGACGCTCGACTGTGGTACCGCGAATCACCGATATCTTCGCTCTTTGCCAGCTACATGAGGAGGGCGAACGAGTTGGCTCGAGAGATGTGTGCGCCGTCAACGTAGGAGCCGAGAATGTCACTAGCGGGGCAATTCATAAGTTTTTGCCGCACGCACGCGCAGCCGATCAACGAGAAGAGCTGCCCGGTAATTTTGATGGCAATAGGAGATGTGGCGCCATCGATCCGACCGCAGCACGCCAGGATGCTGGCGGTCCACGTTCCAAATGTATCGAACCCCACCGGACATGGTGGTTCTCGGGTTACCAAAAATTGCGGCGCGATCGGAGACGAAGCAGGCGCGCCCCTTGACAACGGAAAAGATGAACTAATTTGTCCGCAGCCGGGCCGATTGGAAGCAGTGTGTTGTCTTACGACCTGCGTGGATGACTGCGAGCTGTTGGTCCGACATTGCGGTCTTGACTCCCAAAACATTTCACACTGGAGCCGGACGGGGCCATAATTCTGGATTGGCCCGTGGCTCCAAGGACGGCGAGGGCGGATCCCCACCGCGCCTCGCGGTTCGTCGGGATGCGAGGGCAGGACGCGTTCAACACTATAAAGTTATGCAGGACACTTTGACACAGCGAAGAGCTCACGAATCTTACGACTGCCCAAGTGGAACGAGCTCTGGCTTCGTGGAATGCCACGGCGCATTCCATAAAACGGGGTGCGCCACTGAAATCGTGGAGTCACAAAATTTGGACCCACACGTGATCTCGCGGTTGGCGGGGCACGTCGACCCGTTTGGCCTTCCCCAAGGCACAGTTCGGTATTTGGGGAATTGCAACACAGTGCTGACCCAGGTGTCGTCGCTGGTCGCATTGGTGTGAAGGGGGAAACTGCGGAAGGGCAAGAACTCTGGCTGAGAGCATAGAGGCGTTTTTCCATGATTTTAATCACAACCATGCTGCTACAATAACGAGACGCGCGACAAGGACACGACTGGCCACTCCACAAGATGAACACGCTATCCCGTTACAGCAAGTCAACGTGCCCGTATTGAACCTAGAGTGGATTAAAAGTCGGTTGAACCCGAACACCTCGGAGAGTCTCATGCAAGTTTGGGGACTCGTCGGGCGGTCCCCTTTTCCTCCGTCTTCCTCCGGTAAAGCGCGCGAAGGCTCACGGAGGATTCCAGCGGCTGACGCGAGATTGTCGAAGGAAGTGGGAATTTTCGAGGACGCTTCGTCCACAATAACAGGCGGATGGATAATACCTTTTTCGGTTGTGGAGGGGAAAACCGCCGGTTTGCGGAAACAATGGATCGCGTGGCCACGCGACATGAAAATTGACGACCCTTATGAGGCTATTGTACCTTTTACACATTTCCCATTACGTGCCACCTGTGATGGCTGAGGCCGCTTCCTGCCTGGATGTGAAGGCGTCCTTTTTGCAAGTCTCTTTACCGCGGGAGACTCTGCACCTCTTTCGATGCCGCGTGGAGGACGGCACGCTGGTGGAGCTGACACGGCTCCCAATGGGATACAAGGCCAGCCCAGAAATTCTCCAGATTGTTATTACCTCGGCAATTGCGAGGGCGACGACGGTGGTTCACCCCTCTGGGCCGCACCTCCATTGGTCCGCATCGACGTATGGATCGATAATATACGCATTGCAGGGTTGAAAAGCGACGTGACATTGTGGGAAGCCCAAGTGCTTCGTAATGCGGACAGTTGTCACGCCACGATGGGGAGGACCGCGAATCGGGCGCTACGCAGTACACCTTCCTGGGGGTGCAGTTTGATCATACTCGCCGGGCGGTATCCCTGAGTGAAAGGCTTGTCCGGTCTGTGCGCGCCATGCCGGAGCTCAATTCTTCAACCATCGCGGAAATGGAGGTTACGGCGTCACGGTTTTTGTACGCGGCGGCCATTTTGTGCACACTTTTGTGCATAATACTTTTTCATCAAGGCAGCGCGACGACGATTATCGGCACCCAACCGGGGGATTGTGCAGGAGACATCCCCGGCGAACCTTCCGCCAGCAGCGGTTGGTTTGGGCGAGAGATTACGACACACCATCGAGAACAATCGCAAGCGAATCATCAAGCCCAGGGAAAAGTCATCGGCCGCCATCATCACGGATGCATCGCTCCATGGATGGAGACCCATTTTCATCCCAGACTTTGTCGACGTTAAAACTGCCGGAGGAGAGTGGGAGAGGAAGCCGTTTCTTATCATGCGGGCCGAGGCGCGCGCGGTGCGCTTAGCCTTATCGGTCTTTTTCCGCCGTCTTGCCATCCATCATCGACGTTTGGGTGGACAACACTTCGCTGCAAGGAGCGGCGAATAAAGGCAGCTCAAAATCAAACGCTATGACGTGGGAGCTGCGACGGATATGTTTGTTTTTGGACTCTCGCGGAATACAGACATCCTTTGCCTAGTTGCGGTCAGCAGAAAACCCCGCAGACGGCATATCACGCGGTCTTGTGTTTACACTTCAGGACTTGGCGAAAGGAATGGAACTTGCGAAGGGGAGCGGCGGTGTCTTGTGGCTGGAGGAGCCCAAATTCTGTCACTTCGTAAGTAACGAATATATATATATCCCATTCGAATAGAGTGCAGCATGTCACGATTGTGGCTAGCGGATAATGTAAAAAAATATATACACTTACTTGATGCAAACTTTGAGGATGTGGTGGAGCCATTCTCATTCCATTTGCTTTTTTCCATTCGTTTTGTTTGGTTTCCATTATTGGTAACTTCAGGATTCTGCCAGCGGCCCACGTGAATATTCACTTTTTGTCATCGCATGGAGTGAGGCATCGCATCCCATTGGGGTAGGACCGCAGTGAAGTTTTGCCGCCGCGTCATGGATGGATGAGGATACGCTTCTGCGTGTGGCTGGTGCTGTGGGTGCTCTCTCGGTGTGCGTTGTGTGTTGACAGCGGGGCCGTGGTCGTATCCCGTTGGCCGTGGGTTTGAACTTGAGGCGGTGACAGTGGGTCCCTTCTCCTCGTGCATGGTGGGTGATTGCTGGCGTTGTGTGCGTTTTTTGTGTGGAGAGCCGAATCCTCTCACCTGCGTACTGACGGCTCTGCGATGGTACGTGAGTGTGTGATGGCCGCTGCGGAGTGGCGGTGCGTGGCGCTTGGGTTTTGCGGTGCAGATACGGTGCGGTGACTGCGAGAGGGTCAGTGCTCTCCTCGCACCGTTGTCTCTGTGTGTGTTGCTTCTCTTTTCTGTGGGCGATGGTTCTCTGTGCTGTCGCTTCTGGATTGACTTGTGTCGTGGTTTTCGCGTGGGCGCTCTGCTCTGCTCCCCACGGACGTGTCTGACGTATTGCTGCTGTTGTTCTTTTCAAATTCTTGAACGCACACAAACACACATGAATTAGGAGGTTACGACCGAACGCTAAACGCTACTGTGAAATTCGAGGGCTTTGAAAGGACCAACAGCACACACACCGCACAAACACATATTTACATGCTCTCACGTGTTGCTGCTGTCAAGGCACCCAACGTACACAACCGTCGCCGCGTGACCGGATCCAGCGGAAGGAGGAGGGAAGGAAGCGAGAGTGAGCGGCGGAGGCCCAGCATGTCCCGGCATTTCTTTCGCTCCGCGGTGCTGCTCCTCCTTGTCGTTATGATGTTCTGCGGCAGCGAAGCCGCAGCCGCTGTGGAGGGTAATTCAGAGGGTACAATCATATTTAAAGGAGAGGAATCATTTTCTGATTCAGAGAACAAATCTTTGGTACAGGCGTTTGATTCTTTTCGTGCACCCTCTCTTGTTTACGTGAATGGTGTTGTTGTGGCCACTGTTGAGGCGCATTACACAAATAGCACGGATAGCAAATCGTGTGTTAGTATTGCTGCAAAGTCGATGGAAATCGATGGACGGACGTGGACTAAGGGAAGTGCCATCGTGTTTGATCATTATGACGTGCGTATTGACCGCCTGTTGCGCCCAACTGCCATTGTGAAAGAGGGTGGTTATGAAGTAAGTGCTCTTCTTGGGGGTTATCACACGTCAGGGGCTCCATTGAAGGAAGTGGGTGATGGTTATTGGACGCCCAGGATGGCAAAGGGTACGGTTTCGGGTGAAGAAGACGGTAAGATGGAGTTTAATTGGAGCCGGTTTGCAAGCACTACGAATCTTCAGGGCGTTTTAAATGATTACAACACCAATATCAAGCGCTTCAAACAGTTTCTGGGTGGTGGCGGGGCAGGCATCATGTTGGAGGACAATTCCTATGTGCTGCCCATTCAGGCCTTGAAGGATGATGGAAAGGAAGTTTCTTTGGTCATCCTTGCCAAAGGCACTCATTATGGTTGGGAGTTCTCAAATGATACGAGTCGTGATGGATGCATCCAGCCTGCGGTTCTTGAATGGGAGGACAGAGGGCTCGTCATGATGACGTCGTGTGAGGACGGCAGTCGCAGGGTTTACGAGTCCGATGACAAGGTGGAGTGGACGGAGGCACTCGGGACACTCTCGC